ATATTAAAATTGTACAATGAAATTAATAGCATTGAAAAGCCTGTGGCCCACAGATAACCACTGTTAACAGTGTGGGGTCCTTCTTTTCAGGTTCATGGATGTGTGTATGGGTTGTCCTGTTTACCAGTCTTACTTTCCTGTTTTTCATCCTACTCCTACACTGCATTCTGCCACTTTCTGGGTCACCAACACATATATAATTGTTGGCTGAGCTCTTTCTGTCTCTGGATCTACCCATAATTCTATGGTAATTCTAACATATAAAACAAACTAGGCTAATATCAGCACCACCCTACACATCAAAACATACACCTTTTCTGATTAATTGTTTTATTGTAGTTAATATATATTACAACGGATGAGTATATACAGGGTAACTCAGCAGAATTGTAGCTAGCATAAATAGTAGCACACACATATATTGGGAAAGAGATATTATACTTTTAAACTGGTACAAATCCTGAGTTTGAACTAAGATGCGCTAATGGGAGAAGGATCAATCTTCTTACCTTATTTTAGGCAAATGAGGTTTCTCTGTTTCATGAAGCAAAGTACTGGTTGGCTTTGTGGGTTTTTAAGGAGAAAGATACTTATCATCAACAGTGGGCACTAAAGGTATCAGACACCACCTCTGTCTACTCTGTCAGACAGGGTGTGGGCTCATGATCAAGTGTTTATCCTTGCCCAGGACTCTGAATCTTGAATAAGTATTGCCAAGACAGAGATGGTTGGTAAATTATTCACTGCCATTGCAACATTAACATTCCAGAAACAGCAGCTACGAGTTTCCTATGGTAGCAGTACCAGAAGTTCTCGCCAGATTCTTCCTGTAGTGTGACCTCACTTTTTTTTTTGTGCTGCATAGATTCTCCAACTTCCTGCCCATACCTTAAGCTGGGCATGTCCAGCCTTCCTTTCCCCAATAAATTTCTGACTATTAAGAGGAAATAGGAGTATGGAGTCATATGTGTAGAGTTCCAGCCATTCCTTAGAACATCTCCATATACTTCCATGTCTAGAGCTGCAACACTTTACAAGCAAGAGCTCATGTTTCTCAGGATTGAATATTTGGGTAAACCTACCAGGTAAAGCCACATGTCCTAGTGAATTGTTGGCTGAAGTCCAACCATTGAATGGGTGATGGAGGAGGGGAAGTCATACATTTTAACTATGTCCTCATAAATGCATAGATAAATAAAGATCACAATCTCTATTCAAATTGCCTTCATTTTGTGTCATAAATATATTTGCATAGTTTAATATAGTTTTTCTTCCTTTCCATTTCTCCTATTCCTTATATGTATAATGTTAATGTAATACTGTAACAGGCCTAAAGTGTAATGGACATGGTATAGTAATCTTGGGCTCCAAGTTGGATGTAGTAACCAATGGGACTTTGAGTTATTCCCCTTAAGTAAGTAGCTGTATGCTTTTTTGGTTGTATAAAGAATACATATATTAGGATTGAGCCACCTTTTGGAGTAGTGAGAGGTGTTAGTATTAGAAAAAATCTGTAGGTGGACATTTGTCAGGTTTTTATTTGGTTTTATCTCTAAATCATCTGAATGTCTTTTTGGGGGGAAATATCCTTTGGCCAAGTTGTGTTTTGAGATGTGGATCATATTCTAACACAAGTTTAGAAGGATCAAATAATTTCCACCCAAACTTCTGGTACACAGAGTTAGCCATTCAGTGCTCATGTTAGCATTTTTAATCCTAAAGGAGTGATATTAAGACCAAAGACAATTAAGAAGTCATTCACAGTGGTGTTGAGTCTAATAGTGGCAGCAGAAAATTTCCAGTGATAGAAATGCAAAAGGTGGCGTTGTCCAGCCTGGACTCCTGCTACCTAGCTTTAGTTGGTGTGTGCCCATTTTCTGAGCTTGGTCTCCAGATTTCTTCCTTCAGATTCAGGAGTTACCAACTATCCTTCCAGTGAGTATATTTATTGTTTTCACCATCAATTATCTCAGTTGCACACAAAAATAAGAAGAATTCTAACATATTTAGTTCATCTCAATAAATAGTAATTTTTGGCCGGGCGTGGTGGCTCACGCCTGTAATCCTAGCTCTCTGGGAGGCCGAGGCGGGCAGATTATTTGAGCTCAGGAGTTCGAAACCAGCCTGAGCAAGAGCGAGACCCCGTCTCTACTAAAAATAGGAAGAAATTAATTGGACAACTAAAAATATATAGAAAAAATTAGCTGGGCATGGTGGCGCATGCTTGTAGTCCCAGCTACTCGGGAGGCTGAGGCAGGAGGATCGCTTGAGTCCAGGAGTTTGAGGTTGCTGTGAGCTAGGCTGATGCCATGGCACTCTAGCCAGGGCAACAGAGCCAGACTCTGTCACAAAAAAAAAAAGAAGGAAATAAAAAAGAAAAAGAAAAAGAGAAGATTTCAGTCCACTGCACAGTCAGAGGGGCCAAGGCAGAAGAAATCCTGGAGAAAGGTCTAAAGGTGCGAGAATATGAATTAAGAAAAAATAGCTTCTCGGATACTGGAAACTTTGGATTTGGGATCCAGGAACACATTGATCTGGGTATCAAATATGATCCAAGCATTGGTATCTACGGCCTGGACTTCTATGTGGTGCTTGGTAGGCCAGGTTTCAGCATCGTAGACAAGAAGCGTAGGACAGGCTGCTTTGAGGCCAAACACAGTTTCAGCAAAGAGGAGGCCATGCGCTGGTTGCAGCACAAGTGTGATGGGATCATCCTTCCTGGCAAATAATCCCCATTTCTATTCAAAAGGCCAATAAAAAAGTTTTCAATGCAATGTAAAAAAATAAAAAAATAAAAATAAATAAAGTTCACATAATAGGCTTTTATTTCCTTAATCATCTACCAAATGGATATAGTAACAATATCTATCACTAAAGTTTTAAATGTTAGTAAATGTAATATACCCAGAATAGTGCCTGGGCCATAGTAAGTGTTAGATAAAGGTTTGTTATTATTATTAACCATTTTCAGGGACTTTTGCACCTTGGAGGAAATTGAAAAGGAATGCATCAAAGGCTTCTAATCAGAAGGTACATTAAACTGAAAGTCAGACATGGTACTTTGAGTCTACAGCCTTACGGCACTCACCTTACCCTGCTTTTTATTCTGGTCATCTGTCTATTTATTTAATTACCTCAGTTAGGTTATAAAATCTTTATGGTCAGGAAATGTATATTATCATCTCTCTGCTCATAGCCTTCTCTGAAAGTGTCCCACATACAACAGTCCTCAACAATCATCCACTGATGTCTTCTTTGGCTGTGATTTAGTGAGTGATAACTAAGTTGAAAGACCTTTCTTAGAGTCTACATCCAGAAAGAACAGAAAAGCTGTTTATATGTTTTTTTCACCCCTATTATAAATGTTTGAAATGATTGAATAATTCCTCCTTCCTTGCTGTGGTTTTCTACCTGTCCCATTTGTCACCTTTATTGGTTCCTTCTCTGTTAAATATATACTTTCTCAGACCATTCAAAACTTATCTAAATATGCAAACATTCTATCCTATGTCTTACACATCAATTCTATAAAATCAGACATTCATTCCCCTTTATATCACTGTAATGAAAACATCTTCAACAAATAACCTCCTATTTTCTAATCAAATCAATATCTTTCAGCCCTATTTTTATGGAATTTGCAGAAGCATTGGATACTATTCATTTTTCCCTCCATGACACTTTTTGCCCCTCAACTTCCATGACACATGTGGTTCTTCATATTCTTCCATACCCTTCTGACTTTTTTCCCTCCTGTTACTTTTATCCTTAAATGTTGCTGTTGGAGGAGGAGCCAAGATGTCGGATAAGACAAGCCACCAGTCAGAAGGTCTCTGCAAAAAAGACAAATTTTAGAAGAAAGAGAAAAAAAATAAGCGAGCAGAGACACATAGATCGGGTGAGGGTTAGAAGGAAGGGTGCCTGAAACTACAGGACACTCCACGGGAAGACGTTGCGGATGAGTACTGGAAGGAGAAAGGTCCCGAGAGGCTTGGAGACCAGCGACAAGGGAAGGTGGAGCGGTTAACTTCCCCCTCCCTTGCATCTTGGACTGCTGGTGGCTCCTGAGCGGCTGGAGAAATCTGCCCACACCAGCTCAGAGACAGCTGCCGCCAGTGAGCAGTGGCCTCTTGCGGACCCAGCGCCGGGCTCCCAGCCCCCTTGGGGCACCTCCCAGGGCGCAGACCGGAGCCTAGCAGCAGACGCCATAGTGCTCTATTCTCTCCTTCCCCCTCCCTACCCGTGCGTGCCCAGAGAGACAATTTAGCCATCACACGGAGGCATCTCCAGGGAACGGGACCTTTCCTTTTTGGGGCCCTATAGCAGACTGAGGGGTACTCAGACTGCGAGTTCCCTACCCGCCAGCCCTCCCAGGTGCTACTTCCCTGGGGACTCCAGGAGAGTGGGGCAAATCCCGAAGTGGAGTGAAATTGATCCAGCTTGGGCACCCTGTAGGTGATTCAAGACCAGCACCTCTCCCCCTGGCAGGGTCAGGGATTGATCTTCAGGGTCCAGGGGTCAGGCCTTCAGACCAGACCCCGTATACCCAGGTCACGATCGCACTGCCCTGGGGCACGGAGGAGAGATCTGTGAAAGAGCCTACTGAGGAGTGTGTGCCTTCAGGGGCAGATCAGCATGCCTGAGTGGCAACCCTCCTCCTAAAAGAGGGCTGTACACCCAGCTCAGGCTACCATCCTGGGTAGGGAACCTCCCACCCATGGCCCACGTCACAGCCAGGGGAGATCCAGAGGCCTGAGGTCCTGCTTTCTGGCAGAGGCCTGGGAGAGGCCATGGAGTCAGGAAGAGTGGAGGGGAGCGAGACCTGCTCCAGAGTGTGGGTCGTGGACAGCCCCAGCCCCCAAGCCCAGACTTTCAGCTGAGTGGACCCATTTCGGCCCCTCCTGGCAGCTTTGCACACAAACAAAGAGTAGACTTTTGACCCTGCTAGCAGCAGTTGTGGAGCTTGAGGGCAGGCTTGCCCAACCCAGCCCCACCCAGACTCACTCCTCCCACTGAGTTGGAGAATAAGGACACACCTGGAAATCCCAGGGCCCTACCCACCACCCAAGGCACAAGAGGGCCTCTCTAGAGGAATAAGAGCTAGCTACAGGACCCCAAAACAGCACCACAGCTGGCTCCTCCTTGCAAGTGCCACCCACTGACAGGGAGGTCATCCTGCACACCCTTTTACTGCATCTACTGATTCATCATAAAGGGTGTCATTGAATCTCACTCACAAACACCACCTACTGGCTCAGAGACTAAACAGGGCGTGTCATTATCCAAATGAAAATTTAAAGGCAAGAAGGAACAACTGATCCGGATGGGAAGAAACCAGCGAAAGAACTCTGGAAGTATGAAGACTCAAACGGAAAGCACGTCCCCAAAGAGGAACAACAGCTACCCAGCAATGGACATTAACCAAACTCAGAACACTAAAATGACAGAAGAAGAATTTCAAATATGGATTGGAAGAAAACTGAATGATATCCAAGAAAAAATGGATAACCAACGCAAAGAAACCACAGAAAAAATCCAGGACTTGGAAGAAAAATTCACTAAAGTAATTGAAATGTTAAAGAAAAATCAAACCAATCTCCTGGAAATAAAGGATTTATACCGGGAACTACAAAACACCATGGAAAGCCTCAAGAACAGGGTAGATCAAACAGAAGAAAGAATCTCAGAGATTGAAGACAA